AGACTAATTCATTACCTTTTTTTTTTTTAGTTTATAAACGTTTGTTTTATTGAACCCATATAAAATTTACAATTATTCCTTAAAACTATTTAATGCTTAAACAAACTAAAACAAGCTTTAATTACATTTTTTGATACACATAATGGCCAGGCTGGGCAACGCAATGCAGTACAACTTTCTTATAAATTCTTGCTCTTTCGAGGTAATTTCAGTTTTTTTTCTTTTTATTTTTTAATTGTATGAATAAATTAATTTTTTTCTATACTGGAGAAGGGTTGTAAACTCCGTCATCTAGTACAATATATGCCCTTGCGGGCGAAGAAACAGATCGAAAAATCTTTATATATATATATTAAATGACCCATAAAACAAGTACATGCGAGAAGCCAAAATTAACCAATTTTTATTAATTTTGAAAATATTGTTAAAAAAAATAATTAATTTAAATTAAGCAATCAATTGCTTTAAAAAAAGACTAATTTTTTGTCTTCATTTCATTTTGGTAGATGAAATATTTGTTGGACAATTGATGAAACTTATTGACTTACTAATATTAGAAGTAAAAAATTGGAAAAAAAATTTTTTTTTCCATATAAAAATATTCCAATAATTTTATTGAAGTCACCAATAAAATAAAATTTGGATCTTAATGATTTATTAGTTATTTTTGAATTTTCAGCATATAGTTCAAAATGTTGTCAATTGTTTAAAAAAGTTTATTAATTGATAATATCAATAATAACCACCAAGTTTTTAAATTTTAAATTCTAAGTTTAATGGCATATGTTTCTTTCTTATCGACATAAAACTAATTTATTGTTACATTTGAAATTATTTTTTAATTAATAAATGATTACAATAATTTCTATCAAATAAGAATAAATTATTTAAGTAATTAAAATTGAATTATTCTAATTATTACTTTTTCACAATTTATTTTTAACATTTTTACACAATTATTCTTGTGAAGACCGGGGGTAGGGATCATCAGACATTCAGTGTTTACATTAATTTATAGTAAACACACAGTTACCGCCTATTCTTACGATGGCTGCAAATACTACAAGTAATAATTTAAAAAGAAAATTAAGTAACCGTGACAGTGATTCAGATAATGAAAATGAACGTAAGTACTACCATAAATCATAAATTTTTTATTTAACTAACAAAAATATCAGATAAATTTATCATGAAATTTTCTTAGAGGTTAGGTTTATAACCTCATGCGTAACTAGAACACTTTTTTATTTAAAATTTATGATTTTTTAGATACTAGTTTCTCCAGAAAAAATAAAACAGATGCTCCAAGACTATGTCCGTACTTAGACACCATAAATAGGCAATTTTTAGACTTTGATTTTGAGAAACTGTGCTCCGTTTCCCTGTCACGTATAAACGTTTACGCTTGTTTGGTATGTGGAAAATATTTCCAAGGAAGAGGTACGAATACTCACGCTTACACTCACAGCGTAGCTGAGAGTCACCATGTGTTTTTAAATCTTCACACTTTAAAGTTTTATTGTCTTCCTGACAATTATGAAATTGTTGGTAAGTAATTTATAATCCTCCATTATTTACTAAAATTTGACTTATTAAATTTAATTTCAATTTTTCTTAGATTCATCCTTGGATGACATTAAGTACGTATTAAACCCAACATTTGGAAGGGAGCAAATAGCTCAGCTCGATACGAGCGATAAGCAGTCGCGAGCAATTGATGGATCCATGTACTCGCCGGGTATCGTTGGGTTGAACAACATCAAAGCGAATGATTACTGCAATGTTATTCTACAGGTAAATAATTATTTTTATTCTTATAAAAAAATTTCTAAAGCAATTTATCAGTGATGATAATAATAATCAATTGCTAATAAGATTGATTTATCTAGGCATTGTCTCATGTTACTCCACTGAGGAATTATTTCTTGCGTGAGTCCAACTATTCGCATGTCAAAAGACCACCTGGTGACTCGCAGTATCTTCTAGTTCAGAGATTTGGCGAGTTGATGAGGAAATTATGGAACTCCAGGAATTTTAAAGCTCATGTAAGTCCTCATGAGATGCTTCAAGCTGTTGTTTTGTGGAGTAAAAAAAGTTTTCAATTTACTGAACAAGGTATTATCTTAAATATTAATAAAACACTAAATTAATTAAATAAAAACACTTAAATAAATTGATTTTATTATTAAAATTATTTTTTTCAGGCGATCCAATTGATTTCTTATCGTGGTTTTTAAATGCGCTTCACATTGCGCTGAACGGCAGTAAAAAGCGAGATTCTAGTATTATCTATAAGACATTTTTGGGCCACATGAGAATATACACGCGAAAAATCCCACCGCTTGAATTAGAAGAAAGCCAAAGAAGTGAATTATTAAATACTGTGGAATATGGAGAAACAGTTACCGAGAGTCCATTCTTGTATTTGACATGCGACCTGCCACCTCCACCACTTTTCAAAGATCAGTTTACTGAAAATATTATTCCTCAGGTATTTAATTAATTATTTTGTTTTTATTTTTATCCGAATTTCATTAAAAATTTATAATATTAAACTAAGCCGACGTTTTTAATTTTTTGATTATTTTTCATTTACTAAATTAGAGCTAAAAAATATTTTTAAAAAATTGCACTTATAGTTTTTTAATTTTTTTACAAATGAAAATTTTTTTTAATGAAAAAAAAAAGTTATAAAAATTTTTAAATGTCGGCTCACTTAATTTTAATTAAAAATTTTGTACTTATTGATTTTAATTTTATTTAGGTGAACTTGTACACTCTATTAAATAAATTCAATGCGTTCACGGAGAAAGAGTATAAAACTTACAAAGAGAACTTTCTGAAGAGATTTGAAATCACAGAACTTCCACCTTACTTAATACTCTACATAAAAGTAAGTATTTTAAACAGTCAAATAAATTAATTACTAAAAATATATTTTAATTAATATTTAAATGTTCCAGAGATTTACCAAGAATACTTTTTTCGTGGAAAAAAATCCCACGATTGTCAACTTCCCGGTTAAGTAAGTTATTTTGTTTCTCTAGAGCACTCTACAATAATTATAATAATTTATATTAATTAATTATTACTTTTACTATAGGAATGTTGACTTTGGTGATATTTTGACTCCAGAAGTAAAAGCCAGGCATCCATACACTGTTTATGACTTAGTTGCAAACATTGTCCATGAAGGTGAACCAGGTAAAGGAACTTACAAAGTTCACATTCTACATCGCGCTACAGGTCAATGGTACGAGATGCAAGATTTGCACGTCACACAGCGCTTATCTCAAATGATAACTCTCAGCGAGGCTTATATACAGGTAATTATTACTCTGAACGCAAGCATACGTCAGATTTTACTACTTTTTTATATTTATTACACCTTGACAAAATTGTTAATTTAAAAAAAAATTCTTTGTTACAGATTTATGAATTAAGGAAAAGTGACAGCACTGAAAATGGTACCAAGGCGAATTAACGATTAGTTTTTTATATTTTAATAAAGATTGAATAATTTTTCGTACAATTATTCATGAGTTGGTAATTTTTACCTTTAATTTTATCCCAAAAAATTTTTATTTTAGTTTAATATTTTTTGTGATACTGAAGTTAGCTGACAATTTTATGACGATAAAGTTAGACATTTAAAAATTTTTTATTGAAAAAAATCATTACAAAATTTTTTTTTTTTAATTTCATTTGTAAAAAATTTGAAAAACTGTAAGTGCAATTAAAAAAAAATTTCTTTAATTCTAATTTAATAAATTAAATGAAATCAACAAATAAAAAATGTCGGCTAACTTTATTATTATGTTAATTTTTGAAATTCTTCAAACAAATTAATTATAATAATAAAATGCTTTTAAAAATGTCCACTATTTTTTTTTTTAATTTTCACATGTGGAATTTTTTTATTAATTTTTTTTTTATTATAATTTAATTGCTATAAAATTAAAAAAAAATTTTTAGTGCCTGTCAACTTCAGTGATGAAAATTAAGTTAAATTTAAAAAACTTTTTTTTATTGAAAAAATTAATTCAAAAAAATAAAAAAAAAATTTCATTTGTATAAAATTTAAAAAACTGTAAGTGCAATTTTTAAAAAATATTTTTTTGTTCTTATTTAATTATTAAAAAAAAAATTAAAAACGTCGGCTAACTTTATTTTTTTTCTTCAATTCAAGAATAATTAATTTAAATGACATTAAAGTCAGCAGTCACTTGATAATTTTTTAATTTTTTTTAACAAACAAATTTGCCTCGAAAAATACTTTTTAAAAAATTACATTTTTAATTTTTTTAAATTTCTACAGATCAATTTTTTTTCTTTCTTTTTTCGCCATAATTTAACTGTTAAAAAAATTATTAAAATTTAATAAATATCTGCTAAATTAATTTTCATTTAATTTAATTTAATTTAAATATTCAGAAATTTTTACTTAAAACAGATGTAATTTGATAAAATAATAAAAAAAAATTTTTTTTCATTAAATTAAAAATAATAAAATATAAAAATACAATTAAATTACAAAAAATGAAACTTTTTAATTTTCCTGTTGAAATTTTGAATATTTACACAATAATTATAAAAAATATTTCACCATCAAGAGAATTAGACCAGGAAGTGCGCGTTTAATTAAATTATAATAATTAAATTACATATATATACATATACTTGAGCATAACTTAGTTAGATCTAAATATATATACAACACAGTATGTGTTCACGCACTGAAATGTGAATGTACTAGAACATTCGAGCATGCTCCCCAATTTAAATTTAAATTTAGTACCAAAAGAGTCCGCTTTGGCGCGCTGGCGCTGTCTGTGGTGGGGGAGCTAAAAGTGTATCGAAATGGAGGGAGCGAAGCGTCGCGCCAAACGAGTCCGATGGACGGGGCACGACGGCAGCCGGCCACGCGAAGCTGTTCCGAGCACTTAATTTCTCCTCTACTTTTGTATGTATATCCTACCTGTGCTGTCTGACTAACGTATAGTACGCGCGCGTTTTATTCCTCACTGAGAACGAGAAGTAAACACTAACTTATATTATGGGAAAAATTAATACCTTCTTTTAATTGCTTATCTCCGTACTTTTGAATCACCTTGCAAATAAAAAATACCGTGCAACCAAGGCTGAGTTTTAATAAGTTTTAATAATTGAAACCGTTAATAGTTCAGTGAAATTTACATTATATATTTTACATCAGTGTTACATTTTATGTTATGTCGTGATAGTGTTTTTTATTTTTTATTCTTTCGTGCATTGTTACTTTTACCTGTGATGTCAACATTTGTGGATTAACCGATTTACAACCCAAGATAGCTGCGAGTCCTCGTCACGTAAGTTTCTGATAATAATTGTAACAAATAAATATTAATATTGAGAATAATTAATTAATTACTCAAAAAAAAATAATTACTTCTTTTAGAGTATGATAGAATTTTTGAAAATTAACTTAACCAACATTTAAAAATTTTTAGAATTTTTTTTTTATTGACAAAATTATTATGAAAAAATAAAAAAAAAATTTCATTTATAGAAAACGTGAAAAACTGAAAGTGCAATTTTTTAAAAATATTTTTTTGTTATAATTTAATTATTGAAAAAAAAATCAAAAAATTAAAAACGTCAGCTAATTTTATTATTATATAGAATTTTATGAAAATTTTTAGAATTTTTTTATTAAAAAAAATTCTAAAAATTAAGTAAGTCTCTAGTAATAATAATAACAAAGAAATATTAATATTGATAATAAGTAATTTATTAAAAAAAAAAAAAAATTACTTCTTTTGGAGTATGATAAAATTTTATGAAAATTTTTTTATTAAAAAAAATTCTAAAAATTAAGTAAGTCTAATAATAATAATAATAATAATAATAAATAATATTGAGAATAATTTATTAATTACTAATAATAAAAATTAGAAAAACGGTTCACCCTAAAGGCCAACCCTGCAACTTCCCGCTAATTCCATACCTGGGCGCTTAAAATTGTACTTATGACATTTTTGAGATTTTTGAGTTTAAAATATAATTTATGAGATATTTTGAGCTCGCTGAATTCAAAGACATAATATCTCTATGCATTTGAGCTCTCCCAGCTCAAAAGTCTGATAGAAATTTCATAGAACACTATTTTTGGAATTTTCAAACCGCAATAACTTTTGAATGAATGAACCGATTTTTATGCAGTTGGCGGCATTCTACGCAGTTTTTTAAGCCTCATAAAGAATTCTTAAGTTTCAATTGGTTAAACTAGAACTTTCGGAGTAATTCCGAAAAAACACTTTTTTCGGTTTTTTTTCGTTCACGATATCTCTTGAACGAATCAACCGATTTTGACCGGATTGGCGGCAATCGACGTGGTTTTTTAAGGTTGAGAGCTGATTAGTTTTTGAAATCGATCGGTAGAGCCGTTTAAAAATTATTCCAAAAAAACCACTCCTGAAAAAAAATTTTTTTCCTATTTTTTTGGAGATTTCTCTAAATTTCTCAAAATCTATCGGTCCGAATCGGTTCAAATTTTCAGGGAATCTAAGTTTAGTGAAGCCCTTTCGAATGGCACCAACCGCGATGAAATCGGTTTAACCGTTGAAAAGTTATAAGAGGTTTACATACTTACATACACACACACACACATACATACAGACATAGTGACACCCTCGCGGGAATAGTCAGGGAAGCTTCCTAGAACCTCAAAACGTCGAGATCTGATGAAAACTCGATTTTCGAAAAACGGGGTAAAACCAATATCTTCCCGATTTTTGAAAATTTTCAATTTTCTTAGCGGGAAGTTAAAAATTACTTCTTTTAGGGGATGATAGAATTTTATGAAAATTTTTTGAATGTTTTTTTTAAAAAAAATTCTAAAAATTAAGTAAGTCTCTTATTATAATAATAATAATAATAATAATAATAATAATAATAATAATAATAATAACAAATAAATATTAATATTGAGAATAATTAATTAATTACTCATGAAAAAATTACTTTGATGGTAGGATAGAATTTTATGAAAACTTTTAGAATTTTTTTATTAAAAAAAAAATTTACAAAAACAAAAACTAACATTTAGAAAATTAAAAAAATTTTAAGTTAAATTAAAACAAAAATTTTTTTTACTTAGAATTTTTATTAATTAAAAAAAAATCAAAAATTTTCAAATGTTTGCTAATTTTAGTTATCATCAAAATTTTTTGTACAATGATGTGAGCGTCATTAATTTTTTATGCTCAACTTCTTTTCTCACAAGGTGCTTTAAAGATGTTGCCATTCATGATTCTAAAAAAAAAAAACTGATATTATCATTAGCTTTTTAATTTTTTTCTCATCTGGAACCGTGAGAGTAGATAGTAATTTTAAAGCTGTGCAAAATTCAAAACATAAATCGGGTTTGTCTTGAATTAGAATTTTTAATAAATATTAATATGAGTATCTATATCTTCGAGTCCGGAGTAGAGTTCGGAGTTGCCAGTTGTCAGTTTTGGTATGAATGTGCCATGCGTATATGGTATATGTACATATTAAATGTATATAAATATAAATATTCTTATAATGGAATACAACGACAATGACAGGACTAGCATTGAGCATTGTGTTTATATTGTACCCTCGGAGTGGGACTTACAAACGATCGTCCAACTAGTCACTACTTCTGTTGTCTACTGGTCTTGTATTATATTGGGGATCTCCACTCGCATCGGTTTGTCCTGTATTCTGTTATATTATGTATTAGTATTATTATATACACTATTCTACTACACTAGTTGAGTCGTTTATCGCTTGTAATGCTTTACTGAATGGCATATAATAGTAAGAAGCAAGACTCGTACCCGTACCTGTTTCACGCGATGCGATATACTCTAATACGAGTTTGTTTAACTTCAAGATGAGAAAAGAGAGTTGAGAAGCGGACCGGCACCTAACCAGAGATTGGAGATCTGAAAAAAATACCGAATTTCTGGGGGAGGCTGTAAAAAAGATAATGCAAGAGGCCGAGAGAAGATTTACTTTAAACTACTTATATATTATATACTTATACTGGTATAGCGGTCAAGTTACGGGCTCGATGCTTCTCTAGGTTTTTTATTTATTTATTGTTATTGCTTTACCACGTGTTAATACTAATTTATTTTAGTTCCAGGCTCCGGAAGTCGTTCGTCGAATTATAGGCTTGGGTTTTCGGTGGTTAGGCGTGATTGCGTACTATTTTTTTAATTCAAGGATTTTTTAGGGTATTGATGGAAATTTTTTTACGTAATAGAGAAATTAATAAGTCAGATTATTTTTTTATCAATTATTTATTTATTTATTTATATACTTATACGCCAATCTGTACACATTGGTAATACACTGATAGAAGGATTTATTTGTATTAAAAAATATTTGTTAATAAATAACAAATCATTTATTAGAGACCACTTTTAAGTATTAAACAAATATTTCTTAGTATTTAAAATGATTTGTTTCTAT